AATGTAACTGTATTTAAAGAGAGAATTTTATTTAAATGCAATGACCTATGTGCAGATATTATTATGAATTTAAGTATTACAAATGTATTGAAACAAAATAAAAACTGAAGTGAAATAATAACACAAGAGAACCACATCTGTAGTTAAATAAATACAAAATTTATATAAGTTAAAATAAAAATGTTCAAAACCATAAAATATTTGTTAAGCTGTTTTTTTTTACATAGAATTCAGTACCCAATAGAATGTAGAATTTTGATGTTTTTAAAATATTTTTTTTGTTTTGTTTTTTTAATTAAATCACAAATTATAAGTGGTCAAAACATAGTAAGACTTTTTAATTTAAATTTCGCGAAAAAGCACATTCGTCGAAATATTTTTTTTATGTTGGTATGACAGTCAGTGACGTCTGTGCCAAATATCACATCAAAATAATCATTAGTGTTTAATATACGCTTGTGTTTCTGAAGTACTTAAATTCCATTCAATTTTGTGTGCGGAATCAAATTTCTGGCGTCTAAACGTTCAGAATATTGAAAAAGGCCTTCCTCGACAATTGTTGTCGCGAGCAAGTGTTCTTGATTGCTGCAAATTTTGCAAAGAGGGTTGAGGACGCGTTGACGACCACGTCCAGGACGGTCATCAACATCAACTGATGATCAACACGTCAATAAAATAAAGAAATTGGTGCTTGAGACACAACGATTAACATGAAGAGATCTTACTAACATCGTTGGAATATCGGAAGGATCAGTAAAAACCATTTTAAAAGATCATTTGGGACTACGAAAATCAATAATTTTTTTTTAGAAAGCAGCGTCGCGAAACCATGGTCCCCGACTGCCAGGATGTTCATGAAACATATTATTACTGGTGATGAGTCTGGGATCTGTGCTTGCGACCAGAAAACAGATGATCAATAGACCGAATATCGTGGAACAGGTGAGCCAAATCGAGAGAAACCAGCGGATCAAAAGTTAAGGCTTTGTTGACAGTTTTTTCCATTATACAGTAGAACAGCTAATCTGGGGGGTGAGAAATTCCAAGTCAGAGTGATGGTACTAGGTCAGTATAGTAAAACCCTCAAAGGGTTTGGCGTTCGTATGTGTCAGTTTTGTTTTTTTTATGATCTTTTAAATTTTTTCCTTGTCTTGATGTTTTTTCGCTTAGTTGTAACATTTTGGCAAAAACAAAAAAAAAACTCCAAATTTGTACAACAGGGAACCCTACTTGAATGTCATGAGTCGTTTGCACGAAACTGTTCGTAAAAAGAGACCGTATTATAAGCCAACAACTTTTGGTTTTTAATCCACGATTGCATTGATTCTTCGTGAGTTTTTCGCCAAATTTGAAAAAAATATCGAGCCACCGCATTCGCCTGTTTTAGCTACGTCTCTCACTATTAAGCCAACTCAAATAACCGCTCCGTAGAAGCCATTGTGGGTCAGTTAAGACATTAAACGTGAATCGTTACGCATATTGAAGGCTATTGCGGAATTTGACTATAACAACTGTTTCGAAGAAAACGTTGAAACAATTTTATTGGGGCCAAGGAGGACTACTTTGAGGGTGACGACATACATTTTTAAGAAGAAATTAAGAATTTTTAAATATGGACAAAGTCTTACTATTTTTTGCTGATAGTAGTATACAGTATGTTTTTAGGTCCATAACTTACTATATAATAGCAAGCGGTTGACATTATACTTGTATGTTTACTTTTTGTTGTTACTCCTTTCAATCGCAATGTATATAACTCCATAAACATCAAATGTAAGCCATTCAAGCTAGATACACCCGTAAACGCGTTAAGAACAGCAGCGGTAGCCCGATGGTCTGAAGTCTACGATGTAAGTATTTAAAAGCTATAGCACTTCTTAAGTGCTCAGTGTTAAACATTTATAATAAACTTTTTTAATTTCGTCGTTATTCAACGATTTGCATCGATCAACGATTTTTGTTGTATCCCAATCGGCTTTAAGAGGCCTTCCATCGCGTTGTTCATGCTCAAGATCGAAATTGCCGGAACGAAATTTTGCAAATCAATTTTTACATTGAGATTCGGTCAACACATGTTTTCTACACCCATCACATAATTTTCCTCCTGATTCAACTATATTTTTTATCATTTTGATAGTAAAAAAATAGTAAAATATTTATCTTAGATAAGGCACTAAACAAAAAATATTTCAAAAAGTTTATGAAAATTGTTTACAAACTTATGTAATAGCTGTTCAAATATATAACGGTAAAGCGGTTTATTGTGAATTGACTGCGCAATAGTTCAATATGATCAGCAGTTGCCTTCAAAGAAATACTTAGGGAACGAACTTTTTAATCGTAATATATTTAAAATGAACGAAAAAGCATGGAATCACAAAATATATCAACAAAAAATCTTCTTCACGAATAATAAAAATATGCTCAGAGTTCTCATTCTCAGTGGGTGTATTTATATTCGTGCTCACTCAAACTCTCTCAGTCCCACTGCATAAAGTTGAACCAGCTAAGCATGCTGACAATTGATTGGCCAGAAACGATTCTTTTAAATATGACTCAAGCAGCTCACGACTTCCGGTCTTTGACCAAGTATCCTCTTGGTAGCCTAAGAACATCCGTTTGAAGGCGAGCTAAAGTGGGAAGGCGAAATGTCCCCTACATAGAATTGTGCGCTGGGTTTGGGACCCGTCACGTAAAAAAAACCACTCCCAATGAAAGGAAACAACAAGCCTCGGATGAGTGACCCCCCTTTTGATGATGACTATGGCAAACGAATTAAGGACTATGATKTGAGGTCATGCACCTGGAATGTCCGGTCCCTTAATTGAGAAGGTGCCGCTGCCCAGCTGGTTGATGTCCTCGTGAAAACAAAGGCTGACATCACCCCCGTCCAAGAAATGCGTTGGACGGGACAAGGACAGATACGCGTAGGTCCTTGTGGCCTTTATTACAGTGGCCATATAAAGAAGCGCAAGTTTGGTGTAGGATTCGTAGTAGGAGAGAGACTCAGTCGCCGACTACTGTCATTCACCCCGGTGAATGAACGTCTAGCCACAATTCGCATCAAAGCGAGGTTCTTCAACATATCGCTGATTTGCGCCCACGCCCCGACGGAAGAGAAGGACGATGTGACCAAAGATGCCTTTTATGAGTGCTTGGAAAGCATATGGTTATCTGTAGTACTAGTTTCCAGCATAAGAAGATACCTCAAGCTACCTGGCTGTCTCCGGATCGAAAAACCACCAACCAGATCGATCATGTTGTGATAGACGGAATACACGTCTCCAGTGTTTTAGATGTGCGTTCGCTCCGAGGTCCTAACATCGACTCGAACCACTACCTTGTTGCAGCCAAGATTCGCACCCGCCTCTGTGCAGCAAAAAACGCACGCAATCAAACACAACGTTCGACGTCGAGAAGCTGCAACCACAACAGACAGCCGAACGATTTTCTACTCGGCTTGCACTCCTGCTCTCTGAGAGCACGTCGACAACTCGGTATAAGGGAACTGTGGGACGGCATTTCAAACTCCTTACGTACAGCTGCAACCGAAACCATTGGTTTTCGGAAAGTGCAAAAGAACAGCTGGTACGACGAGGAGTGCCTTATCATAGCGGAGAGAAAACAGACTGCCTACCTCGCAACGTTACGATCGACCACAACACGTGCGGGATGGGGTAGATACAGAGAGTTGAAGAGAGAAGCGAGACGCATTTGTAGACAGAAATAGAAAGAGGCCGAAACCAACCAAGGAGAGAAGGATCTGGCTTCGCTTGCAATATCCAGTTAGCGCCACGTAGCGAAAAGAAGAAACGACTGGCACGTTGTTTTTAACTCGTAAATTAATTATATACAAATAATCTGGATGTTGTCCCTCAGTTTCTGAGAAATTGATCTGAACTTTCGCGATCGTCCCTTTCTCTACCAGACACTGATTTGTCCAAAACGAAATAAAATCAAGTTCTCTCTTTGGAAAGGAGTCTTTCTTTTTTGTCTTGGAGCGAGTTCATAATGAAAAGTACAAGTATATAACTTTTTATTGCTGGTTAAATGAATTAAGCATCCACCAACTCTATCTGAAGCTGATGAGCACTTATTTAATACTTTTAACTTCCACGACTTTTTATTTATTCAAAACGTCATTTTCAAGACCTTATTGAAGAATTAGTGCCTCATGATAAGCAAAAGTCGAGTGTACATTTTACTTTCCGATTCCTGGCCTAATTATATTTTTACGGGAATGGCTTATATTAGAAATGCGTAAGGAATAGTTACTTATCCAGTCCACGGTTTCAAGAACTCTCAACTTCATTTCCATAATAACTATATATGTTAAGGACAATGGAGTATATTTTCCTTCAAAGCATAGGAGATTTCAGACATAAAGAGAGGGGAAAATGCAAATTGAAAACTATGTACTTTTAAATAGTATTAAATATTTTTGAAGATGTTATACTAAACTCAGAAACAAGGGCACAATTGTAGCAGTCGATTAGAGGCATATTGGGATTGTTTCACCACTGACCACAAACGACATTTCTCACTCTCTATTTAAGAATCGGAAGGGATTTTACAGCCTTAATGTAGAAGCAATATGTAATGTTCTATGTAATTCCAACTATTTTCAGGTGTGTAATCTGTTCACTGCTGTGGAGGCTAGACATCCCGGGTCTTGTCATAGCTCTGGTATTTGGACCACATCGTTTCATAACTACATGTAACACACAAAGGGATTCGTGGTTGTTAGGTGACCAAGAGAAGTTCGTTATATCAAATTGTATGCCAAAGCTCGCAATACCATTGAAAGCACCTTCGGTGTTTTGAAGTCACATTTCCGGTGTCTCTCAAAACACCTTGGCTTCGAAGAACTTTTAGAAGAATCGCAAGACATCGAAATTGCAGAAAATTCATTATCCATTATAAATATATGTATGTATTTTTCTAGTACAATAAATATGTAACTTACGGTCCTACTAAGTATGAATAAAATGACATGTACATAAATTTGTATGTTTAAATAATTCAGTTATTTTATTAAATATACTTTTTTAAAAATATATGATCTGATGAATATTTCATATGATTTTAAGAACATATAGATGAGAAAAAATTAAATGGTTCTTCTCTTGAAACATGCGCCAATTTATTGTGATCTGTAAAATAGAGAAATTAATGTATGTTTTAGTGCTTCATTTTTCAATAGTATAACATAAGCTTACCAGTTGTTTAATTTTTCTTCAAGTTGATTGAGTACCGTTGTCGTTGCTGTTAGTGCTCGCGTCATTTGGCTCAATGCTCTAGTCATTTGTTGGTTTTGCTTCGCGACCTTTTGTTGCTCTTTTCGTCTCTCGCGTGCCATTTGCACCAAAGCACTCGTCAACTGCTTGTTTTGCTCTAAAATTTTTTGTTGTAGAGCAATGACCTGCTCCTCACGTCTCTTGTTTGCATCTATTTTTTTTAGCACTGCTCCAAGCACTCTTGTAGGTTTGGGGGCTTCAGAAACGATTGAGGTAGAAATTGATGGTGCAGGAGAAGGTAGGATGGGAGGAGATGACGCAGATGATGTCGCCGTTTTGGAGGGAGATGGAGCTGGTGCTGAATCATGAACTGGAGCTGAAACTGGTGATGGTGATGGAGCAGCAGAAGGGACTGTGTCCGTCGTTATATACTCAAATTTTAATATTGAAAGTTTAGGGTGGTCTCCACCAGTAATTTTTGCGTGAGCTTTAAATTTTCGAGCTCGGGAACGCAACTGATTTTTCCAGTGCATTAACGTCTGTGTGTGGAAAAACATATTATTTTTTGGGAAAACACACATAAACACTTCTAAACTTACCTTCTTCCATTTGGTTGCTGTGCGTGTTGGCCCTCTCAAGGCATTTAATGTTTCTGCTAACTCCGACCACAACATTTGCAGTGCTTGAGGATTGGTCGAAGTGCGCTTTCCTCGTTGCAATTCAGGATGCTGCTTGCAGAACATTGTGTAATAATGCAGCTGCTCCTGAGTTGTTCTTTCGAATTTTAAAGTCCTAAACACAAATTAAATTATTATATGCAACAAATTTAATAGATTTGCAAAATTACTCACTCTTCTTGGTTGTCCATTTATTATATTTATAAAACTGCTGGTTTATAGCAAAATGCTTTTCACCTCATTTGGTGAGTTTTTTGTGCTTTTTTCTATACCTCTAAAATTTTTCCTCACAAATCAGTTTTGAAGATTTCTCAGAATAGTACTGAATAGAATATTATAATTTTAAAAAATATTTTTCAGATAATAATATGATATTAATACCCCTATTGCATTTGACAAATTAACAAAATATTGACAATTTGTCAAAATTTTTATCAAGTATGATATTTTTATTCTTTGGCAACCTTGATAAAATCTAAAGATACAGAAGAGATCACTTTTCCCCACACGTGTGGTGGACTAAATAATACTCAATAATGCTAATAAGAAAACGCATATTTCTGCTTGCATAATATTATTGACAAAATGGATTGCTCTATAACGTAAGTTTTCAAATAAATTCCAAATATTTTACAATAACTTGAAATTTAATATTGACAGAAAATCAAAGTACGACCGGGCTACCCACGAGCAGCTTGAGCAATATGTTGCATTTTGTCAAGCACACCCGGAAATTGGCAATAGAAAGAACTCGACAAAGCCGCCTCAGGAAATTCAGCAGTTATGGAAGCAGCTGGCAGAGGAGTTAAATTCCTGTAGAGGGCCAACACGTAGTGTAGCAAAATGGAAAGAGGCAACTGGTTTCATACTAGTTTATGTTATATTTGGTGTATTTGCTCATTGTTTTCTATGTAGACTTTAGGTGTGTGGAAGAGCCAACTACGCATACGTGGAAAGCGTTTGAAAATGAGCCAGGGACTAACTAGTGGAGGACCAACTTCCAAACCGATGAGCGATTTCGAAAAAAAGGCGTTATGCACATTTGACTTGCCTGCTGTTAATGGGGTGAAGAGTTCTGGGTTGATGTCAAATGAACCTTTGACTGTTGATTGCTCAACAACAGCAACAGAAACTGCATCGTCTTCGTGTAGTCGTCTTTCATCATGCACCCCGCCACTACCATTGTTCAATCAAGAGCAACCGACAAGCGCAGAAGCGACAATAAAGCCTGCATTATCTACATGCCCATCGGAAAGCTTAGAAAAGCAGGTACTTCTCTTAGTATTACAAAATATACATACTTATATGTCTTTTTCACTTTTAATTATTTTTTATTCTGTTATAGGATGCTGCCACATCGCAGCTATCACGAGGGGATCGTAAAAATCTTCTTGACACGTTGATAACTAATATTGTAGAAAGGAATACTGTTGAGGAACAAAAGCAACGAATTGAAAGCGAAAGGCAACTGGAACACAGGGAAATGATGCAGGTCATTCAAGGTCTAACTAATACTGTTGCTGAAGGGGAAAGGCAACGCACTGAAAGTGAAAGACATCGGGAGCACCGCGAGTTAATGCAGGCCATTAAAGGCTTAACCAATACTATTGCTGAAGAGGAAAGGAAACGCGTTGCAAGTGAAAGGCGCCAGGAACACCGGGAGATAATGCAGGCCATCCAAGGCCTAACTAATACTGTTGCTGAATTTCTTAATGTACTGAAACAAAGCCTTCGTAACGGGTCGCAATGAAATAATAATAAAAATATATTTCAATGAATTCCAGAAATTTTTTTAATTGGCTTGTATTATAACTAAAAAAAAATTGTGTATCTAACCTCGAATCGCTTAGTTTTTATGTTCTCCATAATAAATTAATTTCATTTTTTTATATAAATTTATATATAGTTTTTAATAAATTTAACTTTTAAAAAATATTGTGTGAAAATTCCAAGTCGATTGGAGCAAAAGTGACGAAGTTGGGAGTATTTTATACCTGTCTTACTGTCTTACTGTCACTGTAAAGAGCTTTTCACATTCCTGCAATTTATTAAGGAAAGAGCTGTTGTTTATAACACGGCATAGAAATATTTTAATGAAATGTCAATGTTGAGAACTTAGCAAAATGCTAAGTTTATCAAATTCACTAAATAGTTGCGTAAATATGTAGCAGCAACACTCTATATATAATTATTAACCAAAAAAATTTCCCCTATCACTCCGTATTTATCTTAAGCCCGGTATCATTAACCAAAAGAATGTCCCCAATCACTCCGTATTTATCTTAAGCCTGGTATCAGATTATATACTATATTTAAAAATACACAATTGCGAATTTAATAAAAAAAGTAATAAATCCTTCTTTAATTTTAATTCTGAAAGTTATAAACAGATGTTCAACACTGCACAATTCCACCACACTCTTATCGATAACCGTTTATTAGAAATAGCCATCTGACTTATTTAAACATACTGCTGCCATGTACTATATTTATAGTTGAAAATGTAAAAAAATATCCCCAATTGTTCAATTGCGCTTGTTGTGCAATCTAAGTAAACAAAATTTAGACGCAATGAAATAAATCAATGTTATTTAAATACTATAAAATCAAGTTAGCGGAAAACTATAAATACTTTATGCTCATAGTTTGAGATATGGCAACACTGATTTTGTAATCACTCTACTTGGTAGAAATTAATCAATCCCTCTATATATTTCTGTGAAACAATCTAAATAATTAAATTTTTGTAAGAAGCGGCAATTTCTTATTGGTAATGTCAGCAGAGATAAGATCAAAAGTAATTGGACTCTATAAGCATGTAAGTAATGAGATTTGATTATATTTTGTGGAGCACAACTATGTATACTTTAATGTATAAACATTTCGTCTGCAGCTGCAGTACCTGGGCAGGGAGTACCCTGGCCCGAATGGACCACAAAAGTTCCGACAACAAATACGCGATGCTTTTCTCAAGCATAAAGATGAGACAGATCCAAAAAAGATTATGGCTCTAGTGGCACATGGACGTTACGTAGCCAAAGAAGTGGAGGCGCTCTATTCGTTAAAGAAATATAGAGCATTGAAGCAGCGATACTATGACTAATCGAATATACCCAAAAATGGACGATGAAATTGATACAATAACTAAGTCTGAAATGTTTTTATTTGTTAATGTAACGCATTGTGTTATCAAAAAATARGATGTTGAACATCGTAAAATAAAAAAAGAGTTTTCTGTCATATACATATTTATCTATTAAGAAATTTTTTTTTATTTTATTTTATTTTATTAAAGCTTACATAATAAACAAATTATAAAATAAACTGAAGTACGCAGCGCTAGCATCAAAGGCTTTCGGCTGACTGGTGCGAAAAATTAGATACTTGTTTAAATGCAACGAAGAAGATCTGCATCCTTCAGATAACTGTAAATTTTAGATATGTTGCTAATAGTTGGGTTCATTAAAAGCTGAACAGGATCGTCATTGTTAAAGTTTTTAAGTCTGATTGTTGTCCAGAGCAGGACAAAAAACGAGCATGTGTAGCACACTGATCGTTGACTCACAAAAGGGGCATTGGCTGATGTGACTACCGTACAGTAGGTGTGCATTGGTAATGATAGTGTGTCCAATGCGGAGTCTGACGTACGGAGTGATGCGATTGACTGGCAGAGAGGTCGGAAAATTAGGTGTCGAGCGATTTGGGTTAATCCTTGAGTAATGGTGATTGTAATTTACCCAATCAACAGCTAAATTGGAGCTTCTCCGTTGAGCGATGAGCCGGTAGATATCGCCTTTATCAATAAATGGTGCGGTTATAGTAGGAGAGTGACACATTTCCTTGGCAATTGAGTCCGCAAGCATGTTTCCAATTATACCCGCGTGGCTGGGAACCCACATAATTCTGAGTTTATGAGGAAGCKATATCAAAATATCTCTGATGGCGCAAATCATGTAATTGGAGTTATTGCAGTTTTTTATAGCTTGAAAGCAGGATAAACTGTCAGTACAGATAATATATTTTCCTTTGTTTAGCTTTGAGTATTGAACAGCTTTAAGAATCGCGGTAGATTCAGCAGTAAATATTGAACAGAATGAAAATAGCAAGCCATACGAAATAGGGTTTTCATCTTCACTAACTGCGGCGAAGGAGGTGTGAGCTATTAAGAAATATTAATACATATACTATGTAGATTCAAAGATACCTGACAATATGCGAAAATTGCAATGCTTACTGCAAATAACACGTTGTTTATGCAGACAACTTTCTTTTTCAATGTCACAGAATATGTCTTAACAGGCCAAGATCAAAATGTAAATGCTCTTCATATATATATGTACATATGTATGTAACACATATGTTTTTTGTTTCGAACTGACATAAATGCTTTTTGTCGAGCAGAAAATAAATTGTAATTGACAATACCCCGCATTTTTGCATATGTTTGTAAGGAATCCTACATGTCTTCGCAATTATCATTTTCTCTGTCTAGAAATTACTAATAATTTTCACCCTTGAAGATTCATAAAACTGATTATTTGGTTGTTAACTATGTAATGTATGTATATACTGTTGGAAATTGATACATAACGAGGTTTTTAAATTTATTTCAAGTTGATTATACAGTTAGGCCGAAATTTGTTAAGACATTAATTGTGTCATGGAAGAAAATTCCGGACAAACGGGGTGTATTATTTAAATACCATAGGGTTTTGTGGTGATTTGCTGATTTCAGTGCATCTTTTGCTAAAATATGGGTGAATCAGGGCGTTCGCTTCACTTTGTTGCTAGAAAACATTTAGCTTGCCAAGTCAATAAGAAATTTAAAATAGTTCCAGACAATCTTTTTATGATACACAACTTTCTTGAAACCCAAACTTTCTGTGCTCATTAAAACATGAATAAGAAATCATGAAAGCAGGAAGATAGAAATGCAAGCTTAAATTGTTTGGCAGTCTAACGAAACATATACGATAACGCTGTTGACCAAAATTATTTCAGCAACGTGCTATTCAAATTAAAATAAAGGACACTAAAATCATTAATTGTTTTAATAATATCATTTAATATACTTATGTATATTAACGTTGCCAATATAGAAATTCCCATGGTCAGTTTTGAACAATAAACAAAAACTGCAAATTCTTTCAAATGAAAATTACACATGCGTACATACATCCATGTGTATTTACATTCATAATATCCAAACTAAACTAAACTAATTTAAATTGTAAAACTTATTGCGAAATTCATTCATTCGTATCATCACAAATATTAAAAATAAAGCGTCATTGTTGAATAACTGTTTTTCCACAAGGTGAAAAAATCCATCTGAGTAACTGATATTGAAATACCGCATATACGAAGAACGCATATAGTGTCATCCAAACTCAAAACCTAGAACATCTTCCAAGCCATATTCGAAGAGTCGAAAATCTTCCAAATAAATCTCATAAAGTCTTCGTATTGCCTTTATAGGTAACGGATCGAAGTATGAACGCAAATGTGCACGGGTACTGGATGGCTTGTGACCAGTGGGGAATGTAAGATTGTCTGCACCAGCCAAGTACAATGCAAGAGAGGAATCATCTAACAGCGTCTCATATTTCCCTATAAGAGAAGAAATAATATTAATTTACAATTTATATGTGAATATACATATATATGTACTATGTATACTGTTTTAACTTTTTGCAAATGCTCACCTATTACATTGTACTTCATTACACATGGATTGCAGAGATTCGAGATAGGTTCCCAATGCTCATTATACGTCTGATTGGTGCGGCTCACCTCTGGCGTAAGCAAGTATTGCACAAACTCCGCAAAGCTGACATCGTCGCCATGCTCCAGTGAGTGATTGTTAGCGCCGGCACGAAAAGCCTTTATTATCTGCCGGCCAACACGCGACTGAAAATAGCGCGCACTCGGCGCATCGCCCTCCAACTTGTTGCGATACGCGGAGAGCAAACGTTCTAATGGATGACGCACTAATATGAAGCGCGTGTACTCGGAGAGCACCTGAGCACGCTCCTCATCACTGAGCGAATTGAGCTTATGGAACATGCCCACTGAATGCGCCAGCGAACCAGGTATTCGTAATGGATCTGTGCCATTCTGCCAATTTCCAGTGAGGATCATTAATACACGCTTCCAATTTGTACATGCCACCTGTGCAAAATATATTGAAGAAGTGCTAAATTATTGAGTATGCGAGAGCCAAATTAAAGATTTGATTTATGTGTGGGGGTTTGTCGTACAGTGCCAAACTCATAACATTAGATTTGTGTTAATACGCTACATGAGTATTGTTTATCTGAATCGCTCAATTGACTTTGCGCCCATTAATAAAAGCAGCTATGGATGTACATATCATTGTTTATGGCCAAATATTGCGGTCTGATTATTTATGTATTTCAAAATTGCTCGCAGCTATTTTATTATATACAAAATGCATGGCACCTTTTCATTTAGCGGGAAATTAGAGAGCAACTACATACACACACTTTTCATATTGAATGGTTATAGATAAATGGATGATATTGATAAGTTAAAAATAGTAAGTTGAAATTGTTAAATGATTTTTCATGTTTATTCAAGTTGTTCAATACAATTTGCGTTCGTATGTATGTATGTATGTGTGCACGTGTGTAGGAAAAAAAATGTGTGTTCATGAGTCATGCATTTTTCAGCGAATAAAGGTTTCCACTATCGGTTTCTAGTAATTTTGTTGCCATCGTTTGTCATCAATTCTTAGCAACATTTACCTAACTAAGTAGATATGGTACATGCTGATAAATAAATGTGAGTGCTATTTGTTTACCCTATATAAACACGAACAAGCAGCATTTTACATGCTCATATCCGTTTCGTCAGTGTTGCATCTTTGCGTCATGGCTGTTAATTGCAGCGGCACATTTTTATTCCAGTTGTTTAAAAGCTTTCACCTTCACGTAGTGCAGTTTAGCTGCGTGAAATATATACCTATACATATATACATACATACATTCATAAGTATGTATGTATGCATGCATAAGTATGGACACATACTGCGTATATCCACAGTGTGCCATCTGATCTGCACGTTTGATTGCACTGCTGTAATCACATGGCTGCGTGCTAGCATATTTGCGCACGCGCAGCTCGTTCATTCAAAGCTACTGTTATGCATTTATTACACATCAATTTCTATTTATTTTTTTTTTTTTGACATGAAAGTTTCACTTTTCATTTGGAATTGGGTGGAATGTGGCAGATTGGAAAAATATTTATACATTCATAACTATTTACATACTATATCTCTATGTAATTATACTCTATTATTAAGGCTTGTTATGACTAGGTTTCACATGTATGTACATATGTACATATCTTGCAATTAATATACGAATGTGTACACTCCACGACAT